TTCAATACCCTCCTTCCCTTGGCTGTTGGGTGCTGCTGCTATGATGTGAACACCGGAGAGATTTAAGACTCTAGCAAACTGTTCTTTGCTCTTACAACTTGACATTCTGCACGTGCTGGGGCTGTAGCCCCAGCTCAAATAAATAACCCGTGTTATCATCCATCAGAAAGAATCTTGAACAGTGAAGCCATAATCAGAATACCCTCTATCAAGTTCTAAGGCAAAGGGATCCAATGTTGGTAGGTTATATGTTGCTTTTGCATCCCTTGTTACTGTTGGACAGGGTGTCCTAACAAGGACACAACTGATGCCAAAAGGTATCCACACTTGTTACCATATCAGGTACTAAGAACATGCCAACAGAAGACCTGACAGAATTTTGCACATAAACAATTGCAAAACTCCTGCAAAGGAAGRTATTTCTTATCTAAGAAATAAATCACATAGAACCCAAAGGAAATATTAAGACAGCAATAACTATCCTTACTCAGAAGGAGCAAGTAAGTATTCAGTGAAACACGGAGAATCTTAATTACTATTTAGGGATAAACCTAGCAGAGTCCTACAACAGTGGCAGCAAATCAAAATTTCTGTTTTGCATACTGCTCTGTCCGCAAACTAATATGTAACTATAATGTTGGTAAAAGTCTCACCTTCACACTCAATCGAATACTTAGTTGCAGAAAAATACTATTTGATTTAGAGAGATAAATTAAACAAAATTATTTGAAGGCTAACTGTAGTTGTCAAAGACATGAAAGATTACATGAATCCTTCATGAAGGAGTAGGGGCCTTCACCAACAACAACCCCCATGGGTATACAATGATCACCATGCATAAACAACCAAGATAATTTCCCGTATCTTATGTCAAATGCAGTACCCTCTCCAGGAACATGCAAGATCAAGACAGCAGGGCATATTCTTTTCATGCTACATGGTGGAATTAGGCTGCAGAGCTAACCTTCCTCACACAGAGAATGAGGCCAAAAACAAGGTTACCATCTCCTAAATCTGAGCAGCCTCAAAGAAAAAGGGCAGTCAAAAAGCAGGCTTTATAAGTTGTCATACCTTACCATAGCCTAATCTCAGCCAGAGCTGAGGTGTGTACAGGTACTCCACACTGCACATCCCATATTCTCAGGGGAGCAGTACGCACAGGAAATCCAGCCTTCCAGGAAACTAGCCACATCGTGGTCCCTCCCCACTACGTGTAGCTTTTGCATGGTGCTGCCCAGAAAGGGTGGGCTCCACTTTCCTGTACAAAGCTCTACGTAACTTCTACACAAACTACTCTCAGCCACTTAGGCAATAAATTCCAGTCAGAATAGTGAGCTAAGTCCTCTTTCATGGAAGCCAAGGAAAGCAGCATAGAGTCCAAATTCTTGAGGAATGATAGGTGTTAAGATTTCAAGATGAGAAAACAGAATCCCACTCTGGACAAATATGTCTACCTATGAAGGGACCAAGTTTTATTGAAAATATTACAGTCTCTTCTTAGGATTATTTTGGAACATGTTTCTTTTACCCCACCACCCCACTCTGGAGAAACTAATAATCTGCAAGGTCACAGCTCACCTTTGGGCTTCTTTATTCTCTCAAGTTCCCCTTGCATTCAATTGTTAAGGCAGATAAGAAAAGCTGCTCTTTCAGACAGATCTCATCCTAAAGAACAGCTGTCAAGGAGAGCAACATTCAAAACTTCAACCTCCACTCCAGTAATGCCACTGACATCTGCCTGTAAATTTAAGTTCCCATTTAAAAGTAAATTTTCTAGTCTTACACATCCAAACACACAGTATGTATATAATGCAGACTATGCAGCTGAATACACACTATCCTGCTGCAATAGCCTACATTGCATATAAATCTCATAGACAGGAAAACAGTACAGAACAGTTTTGTCCTTTGTGCTGAAAGCCTAGTCTGAGAATTTGTGCAGAACAAGTTCTTAAAGTGAGGCACATTTGAACCCAAAATCACCTAGAGGAATAACCACCCCCTAATGACAATTTTTCCTCTTCTGCAAAGACTTTATTTGACCTGTCCTCAGATGTGATGCACTCAAGTCCACTCATTTATGCACATGCAGATGGAACACAAAAGAAAATCATTCACAGTGTCAAGAGCTGAAGCAAGTACCTATATATATCCTCCCCCCCTTCTCTCGTTACCAAGTCAAGTAAATTTTTTCTTTCCCATACGCATAAAGAGAAATAATTCTACATGCAACTTTCTGATGGTGATGGCATTCTACCCCACACAGTGGAAAAGCTTAGCTAATGGCTTTAGCAACAAAGCTTGATGCTCCATTGAAGACCAGATGTGAACTTCACCAAAATTTCAGGATTAATGATACTTTCCCCTCAGCACTTCCAACTATCTGGGCTGTGAAAAAGAAAACACAGCTTAAATCTCTTCCTATAACTGCCATGTGTAGCAGAAAAATCAAAGGCTAAATAGCATATCAAATATTCTATTCTATCACTATTTCAGACACATGTATTTGCTCTCAATAGCCAGAAAAAAAATTAAACTGATCAAGACAAAAAGGACACAAGCCAAAAAATCACAATCATTTTATCTTTGCTGAGATAAATTTATTCCTCTGAAGCAGCAATGTCAACATGGGATCTGGCAGATGACACAAACAAAAAAAAACCCCAACAAAGAATGACAAAGTAACAGCAAGCTATGGCCGTCTTAAACACAACAACATGGACTTGGACACAATTACCATTAGTCAGTCATAATTGTCAGGGCGAATGACAAGTTTTTGAAGTTTCCTTTGAGAACAGATATGGCTCTGTTAATGCCACAGCCAAATTTGATTGAATGAATTCATGTTAGATTGCATCATGTGTGATTCGTACCTTTTGTATGGCATATTAGAGGAAAATAAGATTTTGTGTTAATAATGAAGTGAAACCATTCAGAGTCAGTCATAGGCAGAGATTTGTTATATACCTTTTCTTTACAGAAACAGGCAACATTCACTTACTGTGCTGCCTCATGAGGATTATAACTTCACAACTGATTTTATTTGCTTTCAACATCATAAAATCAGAAAAGGCCCTTTGATATCACGAAAGGAGCAGCGGGAGGAGGAGAGTGAGCAAGAACTTTAGCAGTGAAAAAATCTTTACCTCTGTTCCCTCAGAGTTTGCCCTTCAAACTGCAAGCTGACTACCAAGGTGAAAAAATGGTGAGAATAAGCTCAGAATTATCCGGATTAAAGCTTTTTTGTATCATATATGTTTTGAAAACTCCACGTGGACATTCGAAAGAGAGAACACCATTTCTTATTCTAACAAATGAGTTAAACTAAACATCATCCTTTCCTACCAATGACTGGAGTACAGCAACTTGCAGACCCAAGGATCTAACCTGTTAAGGTATGACTTTTAATTCAGAGCTCTCTGGAAGCATGAAGCAATCATAACCTGATTATAGGAAGATAAAAACAGAAAACCACACAATGAAGTGACAGGCTAGCCTGCAGTCAGGTAACCGTGCTGCAGTAACACACTGACAGGCTTAACCACAACACATATTCTTCCAGTTCAGTTCACAACTGGAAGTAAACCAAGACCCTTTACAGAGGCACAAGTGACAACTTAGACACAGGAAACAGAGCAACGAGTCACAGAATTTTGTATCTTATGTTCAAGAGGGGATTCTATCCAGTGCTGCAGGGTAATTTACGTATTTCTAGAGCCTCACATCCTTGAAAAATCTATATGGCATTGAGAAAACAAATTAATCACATCTTTTTTTTTTTAATGTAAGAAATTACCTCACCTAACCATTTTGGGAAGATTTCTACTTGATCAACCCACAACACATAATCATAAAGATTTTTTTAAACTACTGAACAACTTCTAAACTTAAGAATGAAAAGCTAGCCTGTCAAAGGTAATTTTTTTGTTTTCCATATATTCAGTGACTCTAACATTGTGTGGAAGCTTTTGGCCTTCTAGAGAAAAAAAACTATTCAGGCAAACCCGCATTATCTCCGGATTGCCACAGCCTTTCCTTATTTGGCTAACGTTTTGAGATTCCAATCAGACTGCTATGAAGTTCAACATGCACAATGCATCCATTTTGAGGAAACTTCACAGCCGGTTTCCCGTCCATTCCCCCCGGGCCCAACTGAAAATTACSTCCCTCGGCACCAACCCCTGTCCCACATACCCACACCAGAACAAAGCGATATGGACAGGATTTTCTACTACTCTGCAACGCACGGGAAAAAAAAATAAGACCCCTGCTCCCCTTGAAGTTCAGCTTTCACACCGCGGCAGGAGCCATCGGTAACGAAAACAAGCAGCCCCTTAATGATTCGCGTTTCTGTGTAATGAACAAAACACTGGTTTCCCTAGAAACCGGTGAAATAGATGATCCGTCTCCCAACACGCCCGCCCGCACACACCAGCGGGCTTTAATCAGCTCAACTGCTGCGGAACCGGGGAGACGAAGGAAGCAGGGAACTGCTACTGGGATCCCAGGCAAGGGACAGCGGCGGAAGCGCCACCCGAAGCAAGCCCGCTTATCTCACCTGCGGCCACCCTCCCACGCCGGGGGGCATCTGCCCCCGGCCCCCTCAGCTCCCACGGAGCAGGGCCCGCTCCCCTCGGCCCTCCGAGGGAGGCGTTGCCAACAGCGAAAAGCGAAAGAGGGTCAGCGGCACCTCCTTCCCGTCGGAGGGGAGGCCCATCGGCCCCTGCCAACAGCCGGCCCGCGGGGAGGGGGTGCAGCCTCCCGCCCCTGCAGTCCCGTCGGCCCGGGGGCTCGGCCCGCGGCCCCTCCGGCCGGTCTCTGGCTGACCCCGCCGCCGCCTCCCCGCCCCGACACCCCCCAGCGGAGGGAGTGCAGCCGCCTCCGGCCCCTTCCTCCTCCACCTCCTTCTCGGGAAGAGGGGGGGAGCACTCGGCCAACCTCGCGCCCCCCCCCCCCCGCCCCAGTCCGGCCAGGGGCCCCTCGATAGGCCCAGCACCGACCTGGTGGAGCGCGGTAAGCCCGTCCACATTGGCGTAGTTGATGTCGGCGCCCCGCTCCAACAGTCGCAGCACCTCCTCGGTGTCCCCGCTGGAGCAGGCGGCCAGGAAGACGGCGCCGTCGTCAAACTTCACCTTGGTCTTCTTGCGCTTGACTACAGGCGGCTCCAGATCGGTCTCGGAGCCGATCCAGCGCTTCAGCTGCTCGTTCCGCTTCTGCTTGGCGTCCGCCATCTTCATGCCCCGCTCGCGCCGGCCCCCTCAGCTACGGCCGCGCCGAGCGTACACTTTATACCGCCACTATCCCACAGCGCACCGCGGCCCCGCGCTCACCCGCCCAGGGAGGGCGCGGGGCGGGCAGACACCGGCGGGGAGGGGCAGGGCGGGGCGGGGCGGGGCAGTGGCGGCCTCGTTAGCATAACCCCGCGAGATTTCCGGGGGCCGGGCAG